AGCCGCCCGGTCTCGCGGTCCACTGCTGGATGAGGCGGCATTTCACACCGTGCGGGTCTAGGTGGTTATTTGACCATACTTCACCACGGATTCGTTGTTGTGTTGCGCGCGTGATTGAGGCGGTGGGGTGATGGACGGGGCGACGAGCCCCGTTCCCTCTGGCCGGGGGGGGGGGCTAGGGCCCCCTACCCCTATCCGGCTGTCGCTGACCCGAAAACGGCTGTTCCGCAGTTGCCACCAGGCGGAACCCGACACTGCGCTCCTCCGTGCCGCCGCCGCCGTCACCGCCGCCGCTTTTCCGCTTTAACGCCGCGGCGCGGCCGCGGTCGCGGCACAATCTCCTGGGCGGATGTGCGCGCGGTGGAAACGGGCGCTCGGTGGAAACGGGCGCTCGTAAAAGCGTTGAACTCTCACAATGGCGCAGCACGGGGCCCCGCCACGGCTCCCCCCGCCTTGGGCGCCACGCACAATGCCCCCTACCCCCACCCACGCCCCTCCCCCCGCGGCAAACAGGATGTCTGAGCAAGGTGTCAACGTGATATTCATGGCGCGGGAGGAGGCGGCGGAGGGGGACGAAGTTGAGGCTGGGGGGGGGGGAGTTGCGCGGCTCTGCTGTGAAGATTCTCCAGTCGCGCTCTCCCCTGGCTCTCCCCTGGCTCTCCCCTGGCTCTCCCCTGGCTCTCCCCTGGCTCTCCCCTTCCCCCTGTGTGCACATCTCTCCCATCTCCCTGCGTCTCTACGCTCCCCACCGCCTGTGTCCCTCTCTCCCCGATGTGTGTGCATCTCTCTCTCCCTCTCTCCCCCTCTCCGTGCGTCTTCGCCGTTCTCGCCCATCTGCGTGTCTCTCTCGCCGCTCTCCTCTCAACTCGGCGAGCACAGGGCCAAGGTACAGCCGCGGGCTGCTCCTGTGCAAACACAGCCGCGGGCTGTAATTACTGCGGGGCTGTCGCCACTGCGGTCTCCTTCCGGCCCGCCCTCTGTGTAATTACAACCCCCCCAGGCCCCCCCTCGCTTCCACCCCCCCCCCCCCTCACGAAGGGAGGGCGTCCCTGTAGTGACACCTGTCACATTCACACGCCGCGGGGGGCGCGGGGCTTTCCGAAGCCCCGCGAACTCGTTCCAGCTGCCCCCTCGCCCGAACACCGTCACCATCATCACCACCATCATCATCACTAGCACCACCATCACCGTCATCATCACCATCATCATCACTGGCACCATCATCATCACTAGCACCATCACCACTAGCGCCACCACCGTCATCATCACTAGCACCATCACCACTAGCGCCACCACCGTCATCATCACTAGCACCACCATCATCACTAGCACCACCATCATCACTAGCACCACCATCATCACTAGCACCACCATCATCATCACTAGCGCCATCATCATCACTAGCGCCATCATCATCATCACTAGCGCCACCATCATCACTAGCACCACCATCACCATCATCACTAGCACCACCACCACCATCATCACTAACACCACCATCATCACCATCATCACTAACACCACCATCATCACCATCATCATCATCACTAGCGCAACCACTATCATCATCACTAGCGCCACCATCATCACTAGCACCACCACCACCATCATCACTAGCACCATCATCATCACTAGCGCCACCACCGTCACCATCACTAGCGCCACCACCGTCATCATCACTATCGCCGTCATCATCAACATAAATACGTGTTTTGTACACATCCCATCCGCAACACACGATCTTCGTTTTGCAATTCCAGCGGCATTCAACACGAGAGCAAATTAGAAGCACGAGCCTTGGCAGTGCGCTGGTGAGCATGCCACCCATGCATCGTGCAGCAGTAGCAGCAGCAGTAGCAGCAGCAGTAGCAGCTCCATAGAGACACCGAGAGATATAGTCGGCAATCTCCGGCAGTGCGCTCGTGAGCATGCCACCCATGCATCGTACTGCAGTAGCTCCATAGAGACACCGAAAGATGCATAGAGATGCAGTACATATAGATATAGTCGGCAATCTCCGGCAGTGCGCTCGTGAGCATGCCACCCATGCATCGTACTGCAGTAGCTCCATAGAGACACCGAGAGATGCATAGAGATGCAGTACATATAGATATAGTAGACAATCTCCGGCAGTGCACTGGTGAGCATGCCACCCATGCATCGTACTGCAGTAGCTCCATAGAGACACCGAGAGATGCATAGAGATGCAGTACATATAGATATAGTAAACAATCTCCGGCAGTGCGCTGGTGAGCATGCCACCCATGCATCGTACTGCAGTAGCTCCATAGAGACACCGAAAGATGCATAGAGATGCAGTACATATAGATATAGTAGTCAATCTCCGGTAGTGCGCTGGTGAGCATGCCACCCATGCATCGTACTGCAGTAGCTCCATAGAGACACCGAGAGATGCATAGAGATGCAGTACATATAGATATAGTAGACAATCTCCGGCAGTGCGCTGGTGAGCATGCCACCCATGCATCGTACTGCAGTAGCTCCATAGAGACACCGAAAGATGCATAGAGATGCAGTACATATAGATATAGTAGACAATCTCCGGTAGTGCGCTGGTGAGCATGCCACCCATGCATCGTACTGCAGTAGCTCCATAGAGACACCGAGAGATGCATAGAGATGCAGTACATATAGATATAGTAGACAATCTCCGGCAGTGCGATTGTGTTCATGCAACCAAAACTGTGGGCCACGTGATAAACCACTGCGGCCTGCGCTCCTTCAACACAGGAGGAGGAGGAAAAGCGAAACGACACAAACTCTGTCCTGAAGCCCTCTCGTCGTGACGAGCAGACCCCGACGCTGGGATGTAGCTGCCGCATGCAAAACTGGAATGGGACACAAACAAAACTCTTAATCGGTTTCGACAGTCAGTGTCTCTTCAGCTGTCCGGCTTTGTCTTGAACCAATGCCACTGAAACTACGCACTCCAGCAGGAAGGCCGTGCGGCTGATGGGATGTGTAAGAACAAACACGTCTACGTGGAGAGACGGATATGTGAAGGAAGCAGCTTATCGATTTTAACATGGAACGTGTAGTATAATAATCGTAATCGTCATCATGACCATCATATCATCGTCGTCGTTCCGCTGTGATTACGCACGCGGCGCAGAGGCGAACGGGCGGCTCACGCGACGCCCCCCCCACCCCCTAGCGTCTTTGCTCAGCGGGGTTCGTAATTAACATTTCTGCTGACTCGACGATGTTGCCCAAATAAACAACAGCAGCCGGGAAATGAAACCCGGATCCGAGCGCCCGCGGTCTCATTCATAAAACTCCCCGAGTCGCCCCTCTCCCCCTCCACGTGAAGCGCCACTCGGGGAGAGTCCTGAAGCCGCCTCTTTGTCAGTAGAATATTGAACAATCCTGACGATGTGCAGTGTCATCTTCAGCGTCTTCCTCTTCGTTCATGCGAGCCGCAGACGAGCGGCAGGCCAGCAGCAGTCTGGTGCGATGTTAATTAAGATATGCTCAGTCAAATAATTAGTGTTTTTCCACAAGTCCCCATCGGTCCCTACGAGTCTCTATGCGTCACTGTGGCTATGCGTGGATCTCTATGAGTCTGTATGGGTGTCTATTATAGTTTTTTATATATATGGAGTCGGCGTTCGTGCAAACTGCAACAGCCGCGAGGTGTCGCCGACGCTACCAACAATTTCCCAAGTTCTGCGGTACTCTAGATATGCGTTATCCGCCATTTAATGAGTGTTTATACACGTTGGCGATTAATCCACATGTGTGCTGTATTGGCTTCTCCATAGGAAGGGGAATATCACAACATTTGCGCGATCCACCAATCCGAATGAAATCCCTTGAGATTAAACAAATCTCGTTTTTGCACGGGTGTCCAGAGTGTGATACTGTGTATGGACCATAGGTCACGTGAGGGAGATCTCAGAGGTAGCTCTGTGGCATCCGCTTCCGTGGGCCGTTGTGAGAGATACAAGTGGTAGCCTCGACGCCAATAGCCAGGATAATATTTTGGGGAACGAAATGACACAAATTGATGTCATTCACAGAGATGTCCACGCCAATGGTCAGATAACCGGTTGTCCGTGCGAGGCAGGCCCGGATGAAACCCCTAGAGGTCCCGCTGGGACCGCCAACGAGAGCCTGGCTTCAGGGATAGTTGAAATGCACAACGCGGGGCTGTGGGTCATGAACAGCAGCTGTTTGCTCGTGCGTGTGGCTGTGTTGTTAACACGACGTGTGCGAGTACAACTGTTGGTGACACGCGGCATATGCGTGTTCTGTGCGCTGTGTCATACATCTCCCCGTCTAACTCGGATCCGTGTCTAACAGAGAGGCCCTCGCCAATCAACCTCCGGCAGGTTACCAGCGTGCGCTTGCTGACCCCGTGCCCCGACTGGACATCTCTGAAAAGAGAGCTTCATAGCTCATCGGATGTATCCTGCAGTCTAGAAAAAGATTCTGATGGTTTGGCTCAAGCAGGCCTGACTGCTGATGTGCTCACCGAGCGTCGAAAACGATCCAGTGTTGCTCGCGTTACACCAGCGCCGTAGAAAACAAGTCAACCCCCAGGGGGCCGTGTGGCAGATGGGACGTGTCCTCTGTTTGATTCTAATAATTATTTATACTGTACGTGAATAGATACATACAGTACGTAAATACACGGGTGCCCTTCCTTTGACGACGCGGCGCTTGTTGACGACGATGGGGACCGTCGTGAGAGCGTGAGATCGGCTCTTGTGATGAGTAAGCGTGGTGGGGGGTGGCGGCTGCGGAGGTCGGAGGAAGTTTTTATTGCGCGGATTCCGTGGCCAGAATAGCTCCCATACTCAAGGATGTCCCGACTCGCATCCTCCGCCCGGGAAATGAGGGCGGGGGTGGTGGGAGTTGGGGGAGGGAGGCAGGGAGGCGGGAGAGGAAGGGGGAGGGAGGGAGAAAGAAAGGGAAGGGGGGAGGAGGCTGGGGGGGGGGAGTTGTGGGTGGGGTCCGCGCAGCTCGGGGGTTATTTTTAGTCTCCCCCCGTCGAGGGAGCCACGCCACAACGGGGAGACGGAGTCGCGCACGGGCGGACGTGCCGAGCCGGAGCCGCGTGAGGCGCATGCGAGCAGGAGGAGCAGCCACCTCCTCCCGGCCCGGCTCGCGAAGCCGCCATCCCCAACACGCGTGGAATATCTGCTCCTACTCGCCATCAACGCAAACATCATCACAAACATAATCATCACTAGCAGCAACGTCCGTCACCCCACGCGTGCGATTCTGCAAACCGCGGCACCCCGCGGGGCCACACGGGGAGTTTGCCGAGTGCAGACCGGGGGAGCTTTGGCTCGCCGAGTGAGGCTACCGCTGCCAGAGGCGGAGGAGGACACCCGGCCCCAGCACCGCGCGCCCTGCAACCTGGGACCTCCTCGCAACCCGGGACCTCCTCGCCGCCCTGCTGCAGGTAACGCAGCCGTGGCGACGCCGGGCGTCTCGAGGTGGTGGCGCAGAGAAGCCCGGGTGGGCGCCCCGCGTGAGCGCAGGGCGAGTGGCGTTGACACACGCAGCGAGCGAGCGTGTGTGCGTCTCGACTTTCGATGCCCCGACTAATCTGGTTTGTAAATACATCTCACGGGTGTCATGAAACATGGTGGCCCCCTGGGGGATTCAGCTTGAGCCACGTGCTCGGCTCCAACTCGGAGTCGTCCCTGAGTTAAAGGGCCCTGCGCCAAAACGTCAATCACACACACGCGTGCGTGGACCATGCACGTGTGCGTGGGCAGGCGTGCGCGTGTGGGCCTACACGTGCGTGTGTGCGTCTATAGATATGTGTGGGTGCGTGGGGTTAGGCCCGGTCGACTCGATGTCAATCGAGATGGAACCTGGTGGGGTGCGTGAGCGGTCGCCGTTGGAAGTCAAAGGCGGTTGGGTGTGGCTCTGGCCACGCCATTCCCTCGTGCACAGTTCCGGAGTGAATAGGCGCTCGCTGACTTCGTTTGTCCCAACAGTCTGTAAGGCCGTAGGGGGCGGGCGTGGGAGTATTCATCTCTGTGCGGACCCGGGAGGAAATGCTGACGGCGCGGGATCGCTCCGTGCTCTGTCGCGCATGGAGTCGTGAATTCAGTGCTGGGGATTTTTTGGGGGCTAAAGGGAAAATGACTGGGCGAGGGAATTCCGTAAGCCCCAGCCGAACGAAACGCTTCACCTTCTCCACCGAGGGTAGCCAGACGGTGGGAGACTGTCAGGGCAGATGTATGAGTCTCGGTGTGAGTCTGTGGGACTCTATACGAGTCTGTCGGGTTCTGTGGGTCTATGGGTCTCTGTGTGAATTTGTTGGCCTCGATGTAAATCTAAGGGAAGATGATGCTGGCACCCTGTCGGGCCGTTCTTGGAGGTCGCCGCGGTTCTTCTGCGCAGCAGCTGCGAGATCTGGGAGAGAGCAGAGCGCTGAGTTAGCGAGGAGGTCGTGGTGGTGGTAGTGATGGCAGCAACAACTTTGGCCACGATGACATCTCAATCTTTTCGATCTTCGTGATTTTTCGATGGAGATTTTGCATTTTGAGGTCACTGACGGTGCCAATTCAAATAAAATCGCGTGACTGCGTTGGCCACACGAGTGGAGATGAACTCACCATCTTGGTCACTTCAGACAACTCGCTCTGAATGCGCCAGATCTGTCTCTTCAGATCTCGGAAGTTAAGCAGGCGTTGAGCCTGTGTAGTGATTCGGATGGAGGAGACCTGCCTGGGAATGCCATGTGTGCGTACTTGACAGGCATGGTATGCGATTTATCCAGAATATGTATTAAACATTTCATTGACGATTATTATTCGCCTCTTGTGATATGAGTGGCTGGAGCGGTGGGGCAATGGTTGATAGATTGCGCTATTAACCCGGCCGCGGCTAACACCAGCGGAAGCAGATTATCTGTGCTCCCCGTATTCACACAATCCGGACTACTAACCAGCGTTGTGGTGAGATATGGTCAAACGACCTCCATGCCACGGAGAGACCGTCATCCAATAGTGCGTGTCGTGCACGGGTAAGCAAGAGCAGGGGGGGGGGTGCTATAGGTAATGGGTGTCAGGGCTGGGGTGAGGTGACCGCGTGGCACCCTCCACACTGATGGCTGAGCGCTCAGTAGGGGGCAGGGGGGGGGGGTCTCTCACCTGAGCGTTACCCGCGCAGTCGAGCCCGGCCCGGGACGCCCCCCCCCACTCCTCCCACCCCCCACGGGCGGCCCGCGGTGGCTCGGTAATTGCCCCTTTCCTGCCTAATCCGCCCGCGCTGACGATGTCACCGCGTTGGCCATTATGTGCGTGTGTGCAAAGTGCCGTAATGCGCAATTTGGCTTCTTCCGTTTGGATAAATCTGCCCCAAATCCGACACCCAACCTACCCCAGCTCCCCCCTCCCCCCACACTCCCCGCTTCTCTCCAGCCCCGTCGACCACAGCGGCTGTGCCCCTCCAGAGTGGCACGACGCTCGGTAGGAGAGGGGTCGGGCTCAGGGCGACTACAGCCGCACCGGAGCCGCGTCCCGGCGCCTCCCGTGCGCGTGGGGACGCGGTCGCGCTCCACGCGCGATTCTGCTGAATGGCGTTTCCGCTGCTGACGTCAGCGCCCCCCCCTCCCCTCCGCGGCCGCGCGTGGCGCTCGACTCATTGAGGGTTCCGTGAGGCCCGGGACACCTCCCATCAGCCCCCAGCCTCGCTGCCCCCCGGGAACGGCGAGAGAATGAACTTAATTCTGACGACCGACACTGGCGGTGGGGGGCGGGGAGAGGGGGAGCAGGGGGCACTACGCCCGTCCCCTTCCGTGTGAATACAAGTCAAATTTAAAACATCCCAAATTAAATCTGGCCCCCGAGATGAGAAGGCACGCGCTTTATGCTTTTGTTTCTGTTTTACAAAACGACGTTTACGTGTTCCGAGTCTGGTCCTGTGCATGTTTGTGTTGGAGAGAGGGAGGGCAGTGGTCAGAGTCGTGAATAGGGCTATGGCCAAATATGAACTTACATATCCTTGATTCTTTCGGTAAAGTCACCTCGATAGAAAAAATATTTATATATATAAAAAAAAGCAAAAAACCCACGAACTTTTGATCGCAACACAAGCGGTTGAAGACCGATTCATCAGGCAGATGAAGACCGCTTGTGTTGCGATCGAAACGTCGTGGGTTTTTTGCTTTTTTCAACCAAGGTGACTTTACCGAAAGAACCAAGAACATGAATTCCTGGAGTCACGAAAGTTTTAAGTCCAAAAATAAACGTACATTTTAGAGAACTCGACTGTTGGGAAACTTTGTGGAAAGAAAGCGCCGCTCACTCCGACACTGCGGTCCGTGCCCGGCCCAGTGCTGACATCACAGAAGCAAAAACCTGCACCGGTCCTCGGCCGACGTCCCCGTGCCACGGGTGCACGCTGGCCCAGCGTGGTGAAGTATGGTCAAACAGCCCTCGTGACCGACACGGGAGTGAGAAAGCGTCCATCCATCCAGCAGGGGATTGACAAGAGGGGGGGGGGGCTTTAAATCTAAACGCCTGCGTCGTTCAAGGGAGGTGCGGGAACGGACTAAGTTGTCAGACAATACCAACCCGTACCCTTATCGGCCCATCAGCCACACGGCCTTTCTTCTGCGAGAGCATCATCACTTCAGCAGCATTGGTTCAATACGAGCAATACTCTGGACTGTTGTCGACATTCAGCGTCTCATTGGCTGAGTCAAGCATGCTTCAACACAGGTGAATTCGGTGGGAATGCACTCCCAGAAGAGCTGTGTGGCTGCTAGGATGTGTAAAAAAATTTTTTTTATTAATATAACGTGTTGGTACATATATGGGAAATAGGTCATTTGTCTTCTCATTTAAATGGGACGTCGGCCGAGGGCCGGTGCAGGTTTTTGCTTCTGTGATGTCAGCACTGGGCCGGGCACCGACCGCAGTGTTTCTGGGATCCTGTAGCTCGGTGTGCTGACCACTGCGCCACCGCTCCCCCTGCACGGAGCTCAATGACGACGGGTGGTGTCGGGGGGGGGGCCTTAGCGACTGCCTGAGCGCGGGGCTGTTCCGCTTCGCGTCGGAGTGAGCGGCGCTTTCTCTCCACAAAGTTTCCCAACGGTCGAGTTCTCTTAAATGTAAGTTTATTTTTGGACTTAAAACTTTCGTGACTGCAGGAATTCATGTTCTTGGTTCTTTCTCATTTTTCCGTTCTCATTTCATTTAAAAACACTCTCGAGACTCAGTCTCTTTCCTGAATGAATTAATGAATACATAAATATTTACGACGGCCTGCAGATACATTCAACTCCCCTTCCCCGCCACCACCCTCGTATGGAAGTCTCCACGCACAGAAAGCCAGAAGCTCATTAGCGGAATGGGCGATCGGTCTGTGCTGGGTTAATTGGTCACTCGTAGTAGTTTCCCATCGGGTCGCAAATAACTGCTGGGCACTGTTACCTCTCCGCGTCCCGTGGGATCCTCACGATTGTGCGTCAGTGCGGTTTGCGGCGGGGTCCGGACTGAAGGAAGCGGGAGAGGGGGGGGGGGGACTCTTGCCTGAAATAGCTCCTCCGCACGATCGTCACCAGCAGCCGCCCGCTGCCCGAGAATAGAAACATTGACGCGTAGCGGGAAGTGGGGGGCGCGGAGGGGCCGGCGGGAAGCATCGACTGACTCAGAGTGGGGAGCAGCTCACGGCAGAGAGGCCTCCTCCACCGCCGAGATGCCTGCTGCCCCCCCCCTTCCCCCCAAGACGGCGGGCAGCACAATGAACGCTCAACACAGTCGTCAATAGCACGTCGTGGCTTTCAAATAAGTTACTATTTGTATGCTGTACACATGATAGGCGACGCTCGGGTAATAGATCCTTCTCCGTAGCCCACAGCACCGGTGGGCATGCTTCGGGGCCGTGATGTTTTTCTTTCGTCGCGTGTTGCAGAGGTTCACGGCTCGAATCTTGAAGGACGCCCTGGATCGTATCGTGGTGCGTATTTAACCGTAACATACACTGCTCCACTGCACAGTGGACGTTCAATAGCCAGTGACGGCATTCTTAAGGAGCAGGCCAATCGACCAACTGGGAAAAATTACATCGCAGATGACTCAAAATGGGATCACAAACGGCAGCAGCAGCAGCACCGCCACCGCCTCAGGCTGTCCCTGTGAGGCAGCGGCGCCTCCCTGCGTGACGGGCGCCCCGCGCTCTGGGAATGGAAGCGCCCGTTCCATGCGCACTTCGTCATTGTGACTCCAATGCTTGTTGCTTGATAGCTATCGGAACAAAGCCGCTTATGTAATGCAATACATAGCCCCGCTGTCAATCTACTCTTGGATGAAGATACATTTTTGCACGTGTCGGTTGTGAGGATAGCTTGACCATAGCGTCCCAGCAATTTCCCAAGCTCTGCGGTTCTCTATATATTTAGGTGTTATCGGTCAATTAAAGAGCGTTTACACATGTGAGAGG